ATCTTCATCGGCAGTGGGCACTTGATAGTAAGCTTTAAATAAATATATTTTGGAATAAATATTCGTACCTTTTAAAATATGATGGAAGTCCTCTATCCTAGGAGTAGGATATCTATCAGGAACTGTTCTTGAGAACTTGTGGGACTTTTTATGTTATTTTCCAACATGAATAACTTAACTACTGCAAGCTTTCGATGATCCAACAGTCTTTGTTTTAGAATGCACAAGTTGGCCATGTGTTTGCATAAGTCTGGGTATTGTTTTAGAAGAGTATTAAATTTTGTTGAATGATTTACTGTAACAATATCACTATTTTCATTGATGGAAGCAACTTCACCAGTTACCTTTAGTTGAGTTACTCCATCAATTAGTTTCTTGCCATGTAAATCAATTATAAATTTAAATCTGTTAAGGAAAACAGCTCTTAAAATACCTTTATTAACTATAAATGGAAATTGGAATGCCACTATAAATGGAAATTGGAATTCATGCCTAAGTCCTATATCAGCTTACATTTTTATACCATACATTTTTATACATTATAAGTCCTACATTTTTATACCATATCTTTCGATTTCGGTATCATTCGCTGAATACAACTTGAAGTCTACAGATTGTTTGTTTTACGTTGATGCGGGTAAAATACTAACGTCTGCACCACAATCCACTAAGAAATGCACTTTTGACTTTTTATCTTTGATCAAATTGGCGACACTCTCGAACATTATCGGCAGTAGAGCTTGCCGCCTCTTCTACTGTGCCTTGTCGTTTGACCTATCAGTTGGCCAACTGCACGGCTGAGTACATTTATTCTGATGACATTTGTTACCAAAACGAAAATGATAAAAACAATATTTTCCTTTACGATTAAATGTTTTCCTAATGAGATCATTTGGAAACTTCTGCGGTTTTTTAAGTCAAAGGGTGTATTCTTCTAATTATTTTGTTACTGCTATTAAGGAGTGATCTTGATCGAAGCAGATTTTTAAACACAGTCTTCTTCGCTTATATTACATAATTCCAGCATGAGTTGTGATACAATCTTGCAATACAGTGCTATGAATGAAGAATTCAGAAGCTCATTTTGTCATCTTAAGGGTTTTTTTTTTTTTTTTTTAATTTTAAAGAAGTAAAAAATGCTAATCAGACAGCTCATAAAATTTGCATATAAGGACACTGTTTCTCATAATACAGTTCGAAAGTGGTTTGATGCATGGAAATTTCGGCTTTGAAGATGTCTGGACGATTATCTCTGTAAACAAAAATGTATTAAAACAAAATGCCATCACTAAAAATCCACATTAAGACCTATCAGACAGACTAAATATTCCATAAAGAATAGTACATGATTAACTGAAGACCGGGTATGTAAACTCCTACGAAGTATGTTCTGCCATGAAATTTAACATGGAAGAACATGCTTGCTCGGGTTTTGGTACATGATTCTTTGCTGAAAAGAAATAAAGAAGCTCCCTTTTAAAGAGCTCAAAAAAGAAGTGAATGCTATACAGTAACATTACAGGAAAACGGTTATGGGGGAGGTAAGCCAAAAGAACCTCCTTTAGCAACATCAAGAGTGGGACTACACCTCAAAAAAGTAATGCTTTGCATATCATGGGACTACAAAGGAATTGTATGTAATGAATATGTTGCTATCAAACTAGACAATAAATTCAGAAAAATATTGTTCCCAAAAGGTATTTTTAAAAGCAGAAATTGAAGCAAAGTTTTCCAGAACAGACCAACTGTCAAGATATTGTCTTCTATCATGGTTAGCCACAAATTTTGGTGAATGTCATACAAGTATTTATTGAGTATGATTGAGATGCTTTGTGTCACATTCCATATTCACTAGACCTTATTCCATTGTATTTTCATCTCTTTAGATCACTGCAATATTCTCTGAATGGCCTACGTTCATTTTCTTTATAAACCCTCAAATAGCACTCTCGATAAATTTTACAAATAAGCCTAATGACTTTATTAAAAATTAACTTTCCCACTGCCGGAAAAGTGGCAAAAAAATACAAAATGGTGCTTATATGCTCCAATGAAATTTTCTTATGTTTTTGTAATTTTCATTTGTTTTATAATGAAAAAACTGCAGAACATTCCGGATGATGCAATATTTTTTCACTTTATATTCCTAGAGGGAACAAATGAATTGCTTTTCATGGAGAGTCCACAGATACCTGTATGGCATTAAAATAACTTCTTGTTCCCAATAATCTGGTCATATTATCAAATTCTAAGGTTAATTCACGAACTATTGGATCAAGTGAAACTTTAGCATCAGATTTGCAAATACTGTTTTCTCTTTCACTGAAACTTGATATTAACTGAAGATGGAGGGGGTAAATATTTGTTCCAGTAGATTCCTACTCACTGCAATATCTAGAATAAAAAGCGAAAAGTATACTAGCACAAAGGGGCATAAAGCAACAGATGAATATACAAAACTCTTATCATATTTCTATTCATAAATGCATAGGGAGAATGAATGGCTATTAGTTCATATTTCTTGCAAGACCTGGAAATCATTTTGAATTAGAAATACAGTATTTCCTCGCATATTTTTCGCCATTTTTTTTATTAATTTTATTGTTCAAAAATCAAGATGGGTAAATTATGTGAGAAATTTAATTTCAGAAGAATGCAGTTACATTAAAAATATAATGAATGAAAAGTATTCATGGATAAATTATCAGATACAAATAAGAGGAATATGACCCGATCTAAAAAACTACCAGATAGATAAATTTTATCCAATAAGAATACACAGTAAATTCAATATCTAATACATATTGAACCAATATCTGATGTTAACTGAACTGGCTGCACGATGTGTCTGGCTCAATGGCCTTGTAAAATTCCGGGAGCACTTCACATGAATGAATCTTCACCGCAATTCCTAGAAGGGAATCAGAGGAATGAATAAAGGCACAAACGAAAGGTCCAGATTTGAAACATCAAACGCATCAGAAGTAGACAAGGCTACAATAAGCTGGAACATTACAGAAGTAAAGTAAAAATCCCATGTTTGGAAAGTCTCCTGAGGGTAAGAACACCTGCCACCTCTAGATAATTTAACAAAGAATCTGCATAAAATATATTTTAAATAATAAATGCAAAGGAAAATAAAATGAATGAAATGTAAATACAAATTGAATACACTGAATAAAAATAAACAAGGGAACATAAATTGTCAACAAACTAGCCCTCAATGGTTATATACAACAGAGGAACTGGGAAACTATAATGACTATTTTTAACATTTAACCGAGAGCTCGGGGGAATATGGAAGGAAGTACAGTAGTAGATAAACATTGTGTGCAAATACAGTTGCAAAATTCAGACTTGCTGTTGGACAGTTGTTCAGACAGTCTAATGAGTCCTCTATATCTATCAACCATTCACTGGCGTCTTAACAAATCCTGATTATTTGCTCTGTGGGCAAGCTGAAGAACCCAACCAGACTCATATTATGATATGTTTGAGATAATATGCAGTCTTCGAGATGGTGAGATACTGCAGTAATAGAAATTGGTGAAATACTGACTTGTTTTCTTGTTTAGTGCTTCATAGTCTTCCTCATAAAATGCTAGTCTTATCTGGTAAAAATTTAGAAAAATAAATAAATATATATACCCTTCATTTTTTTGCAAAAAAAAAAAAATACTATTACCTAGGACAAAGAAGAGCGGATTTCCAAAATTTAGCTTTTATACAGTATAAGAGTTTATAGATACTTGAGTTGATTGTAAAATACCTCTGAATTACAAATAATGCACTTGCATTCTCATTCTAATTTTGCTCAAAAATCTTAGCAATCGTATAACTAACTAATACTCACAATCTATTCTTTAACACAAATATTAAAGAATTATATCAGTAAGGCAACTACTTCCCAATGTGCACTTTAATGCCTTATCAACAGAAAATAAGACAGACTAATAGTAAAAAAAAATTTATTGCCATATTGCATAAAAATTCTAGAAATCATTTTTAATCTTAATATTCTTAATTAAGTTGTATAAAAATGGTCCGGAGTTTTCAAACTCAAATATTTTGAAATACATTCTTCATGCCAAATAATAATTGTAATTTCACACTAATTTCCTTATAAAAAATACTTTAACAATCATACTCCAGTATTAGGACATTCAGAAAGATAAAAAATATTAAACTGAGCTTAAAGAATATTTTGTAATCTCTTCCACATAAATAAAATTATTATTTTAAATATTGAAAATAAAATTGAAAAACTGAGGTATTGCACAACAGAAAATGAAATACTGCAATATCAAGGAATAAACTGATACCAATACTACAAAAGAATGATTTCATTTATGACACATGATTATAAACCCATGCAAAGTATAAACTAGTTATAAAAATAATTTTTTTCATATCTACACCTCACCAAAACTAAGATGTGTTAAATAACCATGATAACATAATGCACAATAATATGATGTTAGTCTTAAATAATCTTCACACACCTTACAGAAAATAAATCATTATAGCATTACACATAGCTATTCATGCATATATTACTCACAAATCAATGCCAGAAATCCAAACATGGCATAGCTAATATTACACAAGCATGTGTTTTATACAGTCAGAAATCTACGTAAGAATGTATCTATGTAAAAGGCATCGATGGTGGGAATGAGACAGTTCAGTACAAAATGAGAAAACACACATATTTTACATATATATGACATGCCTAAAATTAAAATAATTCAAAAAAATCAACCAAATATCTTTTTAATTATTATCTTTCAATATGAAGAGTATTTAAATATTTAGTGGCATGCTGCGAAATCCAGTAAGTAGATTTGTGATTCATTTGCTTGATAACATTAAGTAGAAAACTGCTTTCATCAAAGCATTAAAGGAAGACATACTTCAGTAAGGCAACTACTTCCCAATGTGCACTTTAATGCCTTATTACATAAAAAATTATGTCCTTATCCTTAAAAGTCCTTATCGAGTTTTTTTTTATTAAAACCCATGAATATTCACTTTAGATAAAAGACACACAATAACCCTGAATAGTAATAGTAAGTTGATCAGCAAGATCGGCGATAAATTTTATTGCTTGCTGATCTATCTCCATATTACTAAACAAGTTGAAAATATTGCTAATTATCAATCATTTCACCTTAAATAATTTAAAAATTTCACCATATATCACAAATTCAATAAGTAAAATGCAAACTTACTTCATGGGTTTAAAAAGTTCATTTTGGGAAGCACTTAATTTTGAATTCCATTCATACACATGAATGGAATAACTTAGGCATACTAGTTTTAGATTCCTATGTTATTTTAGATATGCTAAATGCTCGGATAACAATTATAATAAGAAAACTGAATAAAATTATAATAAATATTATATAATTATAAATTATGCTTAATAAATATTATGAATATTATATTATGAATTATGCTTAAACAATATGTGCTGATCTGAAAATACTGTTATAAGTTTGATTCAAAAATGAATACTTTACATTCCATACTAAATATAAATTTTAATTCACATTCACTCACTGCCCCCTCCACACACACACTTACTTAAATAATGACTACACACCATTCATGATGCAATTAAAAAAAAAAGATATTACCATTATAAATAAAAATTGTGATCAACAGATGTAATTTTGAAAGATTTAACTTTAATTTTAATGTAAATCTTAAATTTTACATGATGTTTAACCATTACTTATATAACTTAATTCATGATTTATCCAAATCCACTATAAAAACAAACAGTTGTTTTGCTTTACAAATGTGTGATTAAAACATTGCTAATTTCATATAAACTATTAAATAATCTATTTTAAAATACTTTCAATTACTCCACATAACAATATATTTCAATAAATTTAATCAAATAGGAAAATTTAAAAAAAAAAAAGTGTTTTGAACACATTATATATAAAATTCAATAACATTTTTCAGAAAGAAAAAATCAGAACTCTGTAGGAAAATTATTGCTACTGATTTTGTCTCTGCTTGAGATAACATCACAAAAAGTCAATTTACTGCAAATTACTGATCTCCATTACAAATATATATTTCATTACAGTCATTACATGCATGGATTTGGAACTTTCCACTCCCCATCCTTCATAAAAAATCTGCAGTTCATTAGCACTGTTTAATAATAAATATTAGTTTCCATAAAGATAATATAATGTAATATATCAAGATCTGCACTTTAAACAATGGAACTTTTTATCATTTTACTCAGAAATTCAATAGGATCGACCAGTAATTAAAATAGTAAATACAGTTATAGAATTAAAAATATGCTTGCACTGACAAGAGCTGCTAAAGCCATTTTTAGCTACCTCTGCTCAACAGAAAATTGAAATTGCTCACAAGTCCAAGATATTTTTGCATACATCTTAAAATAAAAGTATACTTAAAATTATTCTTAGATGCACCATCTGTGTACAACAGATTTAATAAGACTCATTCCATAACTTCACGAAATAAAATAAATAGTAGATGCATTCAGACCAGCTGCAGTCCTTCTGTTATGGAAATAGGTGTGGCACTGATTTTGCAAAAATCTTCACCAACTCGAGTGCTTTCACAATGCAAGTTAGCACTCTGAAAATAAAATAAAGATATTAAAAAAAAAGGAATACAGGTTTATAATTTACAATAAATTATTAAACATTAAGAAATTATCTATATAATTAGATGTTGTACATAAAATTCTAGCTTACGTTTGATAAGATCATAACTTGTAAATTATTTTTTCAAATAAAATTTATCACTGATCTTGCTGATCAATCAGATACAAAAAGTAAACGATATATATAAAGAAAGAATATCCAGAATAGCTGAACTTTGTACTACTAACAAAAATACGAAAATTACAAGTTCTGCAATTATTTCACAGTAAATTGTCTCTTTCTCCGGCACTGATGGTGGTGGTAGTAAAAGAAGGCATGGAACAGGCCAGAAAACTGGGTTATGATTTTGTCAAACATACCCCTAATTAGGAACATGCTGGGAAGTTTCAATGTGAAATGAAATTCTAGATGGACTCTTACAAATGATGTAATAATCTAATTAAAACATGAATGCAATGATTAATAGCTGACTTCATTCATAAAGTTGATGAAACATCAGCAGCACAACAAACTCATGCTAATTTTGCTCAGATCACAGAAAGAATTTCACTAATAAGATGACTGTAACAGCAGTGATATTCCAGTCATAAGCAAATGTATGCCCCGTTTCTTTATCACAAAGTAAAAATTAATACAATCTTGTTAAGTATATTTACTTTAATACATTTTCAATACATTGTGTGCTTTGTTGAATTAAAATAATAAGCTTAAAATGAATATTTTCATTTTTTTATCATTATTATTTTTACTGATTTTTTCGATTTGGAATCAATTTTCTTTTCTTCTACAGATAAAATATCTTTTTTTTAGAGGAATTTTTTTACGTGTAATATTCAGGAACATATCTATCGTATAGAAATGGAATAAGGTATACTACTTGTTACAGTTTTTGCTGTAGTAACTAACAGGTAGCGTTAAAAGTAGTTTTCAAGCAACTTCTAAATTCCAATACGATTTAAATAAAGTCTGCTGATGAATTATAGGTAAAAGTTTTAGATTTCCAGTTGCAATTACAGAAATGGCCTTTTTTAACTAGAAATTGAAAATTTTCTGTAGCATTTAATCATTTAAATTTTTAAATGGCGAGAGTTAGAAACTGCTTCTTTTAAATGATATTATTTCAATTTTTATCAGCTATAAACTTAAACTTCAAAAATTTCGTTTAACCTTTTCTATTTATATTTTAGTTGTTAGACCAAAATATTTATCATTTCCTTTTCATTTCTGTTATGAAAAAAATATTTTTCTAACTAATATTTCACTCAAAACTGCTCTGAATACTGGGATTAGCTATTTGCATTTAAGAAAGAAAGAAAAAAAAAAAAAAAATCACCTGCTGCAAAGAATTATACTATAAACCTTTTGTTAAAAATGTAACTTTACACATAATTAACTAGTTTTTCAATTCCTTAACATGTCATTAGAAAATATTTAGTTATCATATATATATATATATGATTATGATCATATATATATATATATGATTATGCTTTTGTAAAATTTTAAATATTTAAAACAAATTAAAACTTGCATAAAGATATTTCTAGCTTCATTCCTACCCTCTTCTTTTCTTCTCTTTTTTGCAAAGTCTAATATAAGAGCACAAAATGTTCTCTTTCGGACATCATTATAATAAATACAATTGTAGATACAATGATACAGTAACAATGTAAACCTTAAAGGTTTGTAATCTGCAAAGAATATAATTTTGGAAGGGGAAAAAAAAGAGAGAGAGACCGAATTTACTAGATTTAGGATGCGTACATAGCAGGTATTTTCAAAAAGTGGTAAGGTTGTTACGAAAAATGCAAAGTTCATCATATTGAAGATGTTATAAATAATACAGATTCATACACAAAAGCTACTCTGCAGAAGACAAGAGCTACAACTGCGTGCATAAGCTACTTAGCATCATGCCACACTCTGGACACTCTGAGTCAGATCTCCAATTTCAAATGATAATTCAATAAGCATATATCCAAACCTAAAGTTATTCATATTATTTGCATAGACTCCAACCTTCAGCAAACCTTGTCAGTAGTCAACGCGCGAACGACATTTTTACAACTTTGAAAATGTGCGCGTAGCGTATGTTGTAATTAACCATTCATTAATTTTAAATTAATAATTAATTGTAATCAATTTTATTACATTTAAAATCCATATACATATAAAACTGAATAATTAAAAATATACCTTGTAAATTATATGCACATTTAACTAGAAATTTTCTTTTAACTCCTCAAGCATTCACTAATAAAAAGTACTTCAAATCACTACTAATCATAGAAAAAATCAGAAGCTATAAATCATATCTTTATTCTGGATATGATTTCTACAGGGAAATAAAATTTAAATAACCAAGAATGATACATATAAGTATTAAACAAAATACGCATAATTTATGAATGCAAAGATTTATATGTAGCATGCTTAGCAAGCTTAAGTTCTGATTTTGAGATTGTTTTTTTTATAACACAGTTCTTCATTTGCCTGCATATTTATTTTTTCAATCAAAACTGCTTCAATTCAAGAGTTTTAAGACCTAAATTTGGTCGAAATTCCGTCTGACTTTTTTAACAATAGAAAAAAAAAATTCTTTTGCAAGCTGATTATTAAGACAGCAAGCATTACAGAAGGCAATACTTTGTATTTAATACACCCATTCATATTTTTTAATTTGGCAATTTCTCCCCATGCTATATCAATACGCAAATCTACAATTTCTTTCAAATCATCTACTTGATACATGGAAAAGGAAAATTCAATTTCTACTTGATTAAGACATTTTTCATCAATAATGGATGGAAAAGTATTCATCAAGTAAAGAACAGATGAAAATGAGACTTCAGTTCTCAAGTTGATGTCAGCAACTTCAGCATGTTTTAGAAATGGATCACTCAGTGGAAATTTATCAATTATATATGAACATGCAGTTACAAAAAAAGCTCGCACAGAATTGAAAAATGATTTCACTTCACTTTCATTCAACTTGGCATTTTTTAAATATAGTCTTGTTTCCGCACCAATCACTAAATTTTCATTTTCTTTCTGTTTACTATACTTCTGAAATGGAATAGACGTTAGAGTAACATCTTCATTTTCTTTAGAAATTACTGATGGTTTTACGAATCTAACAAATAAATGCATTAAAAGTTCAAAAAGTTCTCTTCTCAATTTATGTATATAAGGAGCTTGTTGTTGCAAATTAATATTTACTGTTATAAACAAAGGCAAAGTATTTTTCAAAAATAACAAGTACAATTTGGTGGTCGGTGAGTGTAAAATTTTTTTAATGTTTTGCAATCTCTTTCCTTCATTCTCACTGTTATCTGGTTTATCTCCAAAAAAATTTATCACAGCATCCCACTGTTCCAAAATCCTTGTTATAGATTCTAAAAGAGACAACCATCTCGTACTGCAATATTTCAAAATTTTATGAGATTTTGCATTCTGTCCCAAAATTTGTTGAGCAACTTTGAAGCTATGCTTCCGTTTCGAACTTTTCTCCAAGTAAAAATATATATCTATTATCAACATTTCAATTTCTGAGCCAATTAATTTTTCAGTAGCTTTTTTTTTGCAGCTATATGCAAGAGGTGGCACGGACAACCTCGGGTGATTATACTTGGTTGATGCATTTTGATAAATGATGCTACACCTTTAAACTTTCCAATCATATTACTAGCATTATCTGAAGAAAATGATAAGCAATTTTTCCATTCTAAACCTTTGTTTTTAAAGTTTTCATTTATACAATTAAAAATACCTTCTCCTGTATTATTCGTGCATTCTAAAATAGAAATCAATGAAGTAATTATTCACTCCCTTTTCTTTACTGTAGTATGTTATAACCAATGGGTACAGTTTGTTATCATTGTTATCATTACTTCCATCAGTACTTGGAGAAAATGATGTACTGCACACTGATTTTATAATATCAGCAACAGTATTTTCTGCAAGCGTTTTCACAATAGCAGCAGTTTTGGTATGACTGCAGCTAAATTTTTTTGCTATGGCAGAATCCGGAAACATTGCTTTGAAAAGCTCTTTAGAATGATCCGAAACAGAAAGCGGTAGATTATGTTCAATTAAAAAACGAACAAAATAGCATTCGGCTTTTATAGGATCTGTTTCATCATCTTTTTTTAAGAAATTTGTTATTTCTTTAGATTTTACGGTGCCAAGTTCTATACGCTTTTGAGAAAACACATGCCGTTTACAGTCATCTTTTCCGCCATGAGCAACTGAGAAGTCTTTGTTGCATACACTGCAGTTTGCGTGATTCACAGAAATTTCGGACGCTTTAATACATGGAAATTCTGAAGAATATGAATCTTTAAACTTCTGCTTTGATAATTTTGGCTTCTTCGTTCGAGGCAGCATTATGATTAAAAATCTTTCACCTGATTCACAGTTCACAAGACACACGCTAAGCTCTCGCTGTAAACTACACAATGCAGCCGAATGCAGCCTAAACACGCATCAGCGAGGAACCTGGGAGACAGACAATTGGGTGGAACTATTGATAAGTCGTTAACGGTTGGAGTTACTGATCTACGATTGGCTAATTCTTCAAAACTAGGAATGCACTCAACACGTGATATATGATAACACGAGTATTCAGCCAATCATCGGATGAATTAGTTGGTTCCGTTTTGTGTACTGGTTCTCCTGCTCTTGTTTCTGTAAAATCCGTAGTTTTTTCCATACTTTTCGTAGCTCGTAGTTTTTCATGAATTTCCGTAGAAACTACAGAGAATCCGTAGTAGTTGGAGTCTATGTATTTGTACAGAATTGCCTTTCAGAGGCCCCAAATGACCACCTTTTCATATTTTTCATATAATCTAAACCTGGATTATAGGAAATCAAAAAGATACTAAAAGACTAAACTATAGGGCTTGATAAGTTTAGACAATAATCAGACCTTACAGCTTGGCACTTCATCTGCAATAAAAAGTTGTGACAAAG